CAATACAGTATGGGATTAACAGACGATGAAAAAATCTATGAAGGCCAAGCGTTAAGCATGAAACTGACATGAAATCAGACAAAATCAACAAAGCAACAGTGAGCAACAAGGATCTAATGAATCATGACGTTATAAAGCGAAAGCCCGACAACAACAGCCAGGTGCGGCACTCACGGGTTCGCCCTTGAAGCCAGATGGACCTTGCGGCCCGTTCTTGCCGGGCTCGCCCTTCTCGCCCATGTCGCCCTTGGGGCCGGAAATGCCGATCTCTCGCGGTGTCCCTTCGGCCCGCGGCGGCCTCGGAGCCCTTCTGGCCCTTGAGACCCGGGAGACCTGGAAGACCTGGTTGCCCTGGGGCTCCGTCCTTGCCCGGAAGACCCAGGTCGCCCTGGCGGAAGACAATCGCTTTTAGGCTTACGTAATTTCCACTATCAACTAAAGTCGACGTACGCACACACAAATACACATTCTCTCTCTCTCTCCTCTCTCTCTCTCTCTCTCTCTCTCTCTCTCTCTCTCTCTCTCTCTCTCTCTCTCTCTTTCTCTCTCTCTCTCTCTCTCTCTCTCTCTCTCTCTCTCTCTCTCTCTCCTCTCTCTCTCTCTCTCTCTCTCTCTCTCTCTCTCTCTCTCTCCCTGACACTACATATCCTCCCAGTTTGGCAGAAATGGCCGAGCTACTCACAGCAGGTCCAGGAGATCCTCGCAAGCCAGGCAGCCCCTCAGGTCCAGGAAGACCCTGGGGCCCAGTGGCACCCGGAGGCCCCACAGGTCCAGTCGTGCCCGTGTCTCCTTTCTCTCCCGGCTGCCCTGGGGGCCCCTGCACGCCAGCCGGCCCCTCAGGACCCTGGAAAAGTCGGAAAACGATGAGTACGTATTGCCCGACCATCGCCCCGGGAATCTTGGCGGCAAGATTTGATGATGCTCAAAAGCCGCTCAAGTGCTGTTAGCCGACGAGAAACCCATTGCAAAGTTAGAGGCTGAGTAAATAAACACGAGCAGAAGAAAAATTATTACAGTAAATGCAGTCATCTAAACAAACATTAATATATTAAGCAAAAATAGACAGAACGAAAACACATGGGTACACACGCAAATAATAACAAATAAACTAATAAAAGTAGAGTCAAATAATGAAACGAAAGAAAAGACGAAGGGATGAGCGGCGCTCGTACCGGCTTTCCGTTGCTGCCCGGGAGCCCCATCTGGCCGGGTGAGCCGGGCTCCCCGGGGGCCCTGGCTCTCCGACCTTGCCGTCGTCGCCGTCCTTGCCGGGGTTGCCCTTAGGCCCTTGCTTGCCGGGTTCTCCCACGGCGCCGGGGAAGCCGGGTGGGCCGGCGTTGCCCTTGGGCCGGGCGGACCGATCGGGCCACGAATGCCCGGGGATCCCTGGAGCCCTGGCTTGCCCTCCTCGCCCTTGGGTCCGGCAGGTCCTTCGCGTCCCTGAAAGATGGGAGGAGGTTCACACTCGTGGTAGTTCTAATCATTATACTTTACAATCATCTTTCTGAGGAGAAGGGTTATTCTTCCGAACGTCTCATACCTTCATTTTGTGTGCCTCCTACGGAGCCTAGAAAGTAATCATTTATACAAATTGCTATCAAGTTCCGTATTCTGACCATCTATCTCTCCTTTCGGGGCGGCGCTGGCCGCTCCACAAAGATATTCGTCCATTAACTGAGACTCCGTGACTCACGTGTTCGCCGTCTTTGCCGGGTGGACCGGGGGGCCGGTCTGGCCTGGATCTCCCTTGGCACCCTGGGGGCCGTCGGGCCCGTTGGGTCCTGGGAGGCCAGGGCCGCCCTTGCTTCCGGGGACGCCTTGCTCGCCGATGGGGCCGAGGGGGCCGGGGAGGCCTCTCTTGCCGATGTCTCCCTTCTCGCCCTTGACGCCGGAGGGACCAGGCAGGCCCTGGAGGCCGGGTGGTCCGGTCGGGCCAGGAAGACCCTGTGGGCCGTCCTCGCCCTTGCGGCCAGCATGGCCCATACCGCGGGAACCGCGTTCACCGGGTGCTCCGGGGCTCCAGGTGCACCTCGCAGACCCTGAGGACCTGGAGGCCCTGCGGGACCTTGGTTGCCCTTGTCGCCCTTGAAGCCTTCTCTCCCGGTGAACCAGCCTCGCCCTTGTCGCCGTCCTCGCCCGGTTCGCCGACAGGGCCAGGGGGGCCAGGTAGACCTGGGGGAAAGGGGCGATCGGTGAGTCAGGGGGGCTGTCTGCCTAGCCATCCGCTGCAGGGATGGCAGGTTAGTAACTTACTGTTTCTGCGTTACCCCATTTCTTATTAGGAAATTGCACCATCAAATGTTCAAGCAAGTGGCAATTCTTTACCTCTCGGTCCGGGAGACCATCGCGCCCAGTCGGTCCGGGTACGCCTGGATCTCCCTGGAATGGCACACAATAGGATAAGAAAGAAAGTCAGACACAGATCATCATGGCGGAAAATCTCCATATAACCAAAGCAGACCAAATCCTGTCGTTTGCTATCTTACACTCTCTCCCTTGG